CACCTTAGTCTCCAGAGAGACACCATTGCTCTTCAGTACTTTGGAGAGGTCCCTAACAGCAGACTTTCCCATGGCAATGTGCTTTTTAATTTCCTGGCTGCTGGTGCCAACACTGTTGACTATGGAGCCAAGCAAACTAAAGTGACTTAAAATAATAATTGGACTTCCAACACCGTCAGAGCCCCCAAGTCTAAATCTCTTGTCGCATTCCAGACTATCTCTCATGGCCTTTCTACTAGGCCCTCATCGGGCCCACCCCCGACTCCGTTCTTCACGTCATCTCTCCTGTGCTGTGGGCCCAGGCTGGCTGCCTGTGGCATTGTTCTCAGCGCCTGGGGAGTAATCATGTTGATAATGCTCGGAATCTTTTTCAATGTCCATTCCGTAGTCCTTATTGAAGACATCCCCTTCACGGAGAAAGATTTTGAGAACGACCCCCAGAACATATACAACCTATAAGAGCAAGTGAGCTACAACTGTTTCATCGCTGCGGGTCTTTACCTTCTCCTCGGAGGCTTCTCTTTCTGCCAAGCTGGGCTCAATAAACGCAAGGAATACATGGTGCGCTAGGGCACAGTCCAGTTTCCCCCTCCATTATTTAAAGACCCAGCATGTGAGGCGTCCAGTCCTCCCCCCATCCTGTACCACAATAAAGAGAAACTGCTTCCTTCAAAAAATAATAAATAAATAATTGGATTATTTGTTTCCATTCTATAGGTCAGCTAAACACAGTAGACTGGACTGAATTTTTCTGTAGCTGGATACTCTAAAATTCCTACCAATATTGAGGGCCTCTCTTGATATGGGCAGGACTATTGGGACAGCAGAAGGATCTCTTTTATGGTCTTCAATTCCCAATAGACTAGCTGGTGCTTCCTCACACAAAGGTCTCAGGATCTCAAAATCAAGAAATAAGTCATCCTTCACAGAGGTTTTTCAATATTTCTTTTGATAACTATTTATTGAACAAGAATAGTCACAACACAAGCTTCGATTCAGTGCACACTATGATGAAAATGTTCTTCTATTTAGAATGACTCCCAGAGCTCCTTTCATGTCCCTATTCCTTAAACTATAAATAAAAGGATTTAGCATGGGAGTGACCAGGGTGTATAAAACAGCCACAATGACATCTTTGCCATTGGACTCTTCGGATGAGGGGAAAATGTACAATCCAATAATTGCCCCATAGTAAAGACACACGACAGAAAGGTGGGAACCACAGGTGGATAAGGCTTTGCAGATTCCTTTGGTTGAAGGGACTCTCAGGATGGTGGCTCCAATGTGGCCATAAGAGACCAGGATACATATAAATGGAAATATAATGACCACACCCCCTACAAAGAGAATAACCATTTCATTGACTGTGGTGTCTGAGCTGGACAGTTTGAGTAAAGTAGAGAGGTCACAGAAAAAGTGAGGGAGAGTGTTCTTACCATAGAACGACAGACAGGCCAGGAGTAGGGTGTGTAATAGAGCATTGGCAAAGGATAAGACCCAGGACACTACTACTAGCAAGAAACACAGTCTCTGACTCATGATAGTGGTATAGTGCAGGGGGTGACAAATGGCCACATACCTGTCATAGGCCATGGAGGTGAGCAGGAAACTGTCAATATCAGCAAAGAATATGAAAAAATACACTTGAGAAATGCATCCAGCGTATGAAATGGATTGACTTTGTGTCTGCATGTTCATTAACATTTTGGGGGCTGTCACTGATGAGAAGGAGATGTCAGTGAAGGCCAAATGACTGAGGAAGAAGTACATGGGGGTGTGGAGGTAAGAGTCCACCTTGATGAGTAGAATGATGAGCAGGTTCCCCAGCATGGTGGTGAGGTACATGCCCAGGAACAGAGTGAACAACATGCCCTGCTGCTCCACTTGGATGGGAAACCCTAAGAGGAGAAATTCAGATACCATGCTGTGATTATGACTTCTCATCCTGTTCTTCTTTTTTGCTGTAGGTAAAAGGAGATATGACAGTCTGAGAGAAAAAGAATTTCTTTGACATCAAATATTGTTTTTATATGTTTTATAGCTAATCAGTATGTAAATGTGTGAAACTTAGTATCTCATGTATTTCCCCCAGAGTAATAGAGTTGTGTTTATTATATGCCACTCCCTTGAGGGAACCCCTAACTATCAGAAATATTTATCAGATCTGAAGAGTTCATCAGTTTAGAACAGATATCTGAAATTAAGAAAGTAGTGTGCAAGGTTAAGTCAGTAACTAGTTGTTAGAAACACTATTATAGGATATTCATTTGGTCTGATAACATACTCTTGATCCTTTTTATTATTATCACATAGAGTTTGGCTCTTTAGATTCTAGTGAATTGGGCCATAGTAAGACACCAAGTAGATTTCACAGAATTAAAATTTGACTATTTAGTGAGAAATATCATTAAGACCTACCCAAAATAAGGTGACTGAAAGGAGGAATATAATTTAATTACAAAAAAAAATATCTGGTGCTGTGACATGTAATATAGCTAGCACTCCTTTATTTGACAAAAAGTCTTTCTAATTATCAATATTCTCTATCATTACTCATACAAACAGAACAAAGATAAATGTGTATTTGAAATCATAATTACATAGAGGGTCAGCGCAAAAAAGGAAGACCCTGGATGAGATGGACTGACAAAGTGACTACAGCAATGGGATCAGTGTATAAGAGGCAATGAGGTTGGCTCAGGATAGGGCAAAGCTCAGAACCATTTATAAGGTTGCTATGGGCCATAGTCAATTCAATGGCACAGAGCAACAACATATGTATGACAAGGGGCTCAAGCGTACCAGAAATTATGAAGATGGCACAAGACAGGCGAAGTTCATTTCCATTGTTGTTAGAGTTGTTGTGTGTCATAGTTGACTCTACCATACTCAACAACAACAACAACATATGCATGCAGGGATCTCTGATGGTCAATAAAGAATTTCACTGTTAAGTCAAAGGTAGTGCCTCTGGTCGTTCAAATCCACCAGTGACTCTGCAGAAGAAAAATGGACAATCTCTTCCCAAGTAATTTACAGTCTCTGAAAATTTGATGAAGAGTCAGCTCTGAGCCAGTTCCAAATCATTGGCAATGAATTCATATATATGTTCAGTGAAAAGCTGTTCAATGAATAAAGAAGACTGAAAAAGAATTAACCCATTTGAATTTCATTATTGGCAAGAATAAACCACAGAGTGTCAGAAGAATGAACAAATCTACGCTGGAAGAAGTGCAGCAAGGATGATCCTTTTAAAAGAGGTTGACACTTCGCCTCACCTACTTCGCCATTTTAGCAGGAGAGGCTAGTGTCTGGAGACTAATCATGCTTGGTTAAGTAGAAGGTCAGAAAAAAAAATATTCTCTCTAAGATTAACTGACTGGTTCAGTGCTACAAAAATTATCTCAAAGTGATAGAAACGGCACAAGCCTGGACAGAGTTTTGTCCTGTTGTGCCTGTGGTAGGAACCAATTCACCAGCACCTAACAATATCACACTTTATAAAGAAATGGTTTTTAGAAGGATATAATAAAGACTAATTTCTCTTTCTGACTTATTTCCTCAAGATCATCTATCATGGTGCTGCCAATTGGCCCAGTGGTGAGAATCGTTGTCTTCTTGATACTGAATTTCAATCCATATTGAAGATTACAGTCCTTGACCTTCTGCAGCAAATGCTTCAGGTCCTCCTCAGTTTTGGGAAGCAAGGCTGTGACATCTGCATAATGCAGGTTGTTGATGAGTTTTCTTGCAATTCTGATGCCACACTACTCCTCATAAAGTCCAGCTTCCTAAATGATCTTAGAATCAAATATAGTAAAACATAGTACATAACTTTTCATTTTTAGTAAATGCATGTATATATTACAACTCAACATCAAGAAAACGCAAGTCCTTACCACTGGGACAATAGGCAAGGCCATTATAGATGGAGAAAAAATTAAAACTGTCAATTATTTTATCTTAGATCCACAATTATCACACTTGGTACAAGCAGTCATGAGATCAGGAGGTGCATTTCTTTGGGCAAGGCAGCTGTCAGCAGCCTCTCCAAAATATTAAAGAGCAATGATGTGAATATGAAGACTAAGGTACACTAATATTCAAGCCATGGTATTTTCAGTCACGTGCAATGCATCTGATAGACGGGCAATGAATAAGCATGACAGAAGAATTGATGCCTTTGAGTTGTGGTGTTGCAGAAGGATACTGAAAATCCCATGGACTGCCAAAAGAATGAACAGGTATATCTTGCAAAATGTACAGCTAGAGTGTTCCTTGGAAGCAGGGATGGCAAAGCTTAGTCTCATACTTTGGATATGTTGCTAGGAGAGGCTGTTCTTGAAAAGGGATATAATAGTTGGAAAGATGGAGGGTCAGTGAAAGAGAGGAAAATTCTCAGCTAGATGGATGGACACAGTGACTACCACAATGGGATCAAGTATATCAGACATAATGAGGATGGCACAGGATAGAATAGGACTCAGATTTGTTGTTCATAGGGTTGCTATAAGCTGTACTCAATTTGACAGCACCTAACAACAACAATATTTTATATATTATATATATAAATTTATTTTCTCTATATAAATAGATATAATATCATTACTATAATGTCATATATTAATTATAATACTTTATAATTATAATTATATAATATATACTTTATAGTATATAATTACTATTATAATATAGAATTATAATACTATAATATATAAACTATATATATATGTGTGTGTGTGTGTATATATATATATCTCTGGAATCCAGTTTGAAAGTCCTCTGCAGGAGTCGGACTCGACAGAAGCTTGTAGGCTGGTATTTGTGAGCATTAGTGTGGAATGATGATTCACTAAGGGAAGTGAGACAATGTGATAAGGCCTTCTATTTAAAACCCTTTTGATCAGAAGTATGGGGCTGGAATCCAATTTTAAAGTCCTGTGCAGGAACCAGGCTCTACAGAAGCTTGTTGGCTGGGATTGGTGAGCATTAGGGTGGTATGTTGTTGCACTAAGGGAAGTGAGATGATGTGATAAGGAAAAAATGCAATAATGGTTACCCGTGGTGGATAGTGTTTGGTGAAGCTTCCTGATTAAAACAAGCTTGGAAACAGGACTGGCATCCACTTCCAAAATGGCTTGCCTCTGGAAACACTATGAATGTGGAGAAACAATGGAAGTTATACAAAGTGTTCAGGTCTTTTGTTCATAGGTTTACTATGAGTCGTCTATGACTCAATGGCACTTAACAACAACAACAACAAATATCTATACATATATGTGTATGTGTATATATATATATATATTTATATTTTTTATGTATATACACATATATAACTAAATGTTTTGCCACTTCAGAATTTTTTATTTGCACAATTCTGTGGTTAATTATGTCCATTATATTATGTAGTCATTCCCACTATAAATTCAAAATCATTGCCATACAGCTGGCTCTTACTCATAGAGAGTCCTCCATCTGGTGTCCGAGGTTATAAATTACAACAGGAGGTGACTAGATTTGAACCACTGAAACTATAACCTTTACAATATTAGCACAACTCACTATGGACTATACCACCAGAATTCCCTCATTACCACTGTACATTCCCAAATTTTTCTATTTATTTGTATCATTCCCAGATTTTTCCAAGAGCAATTCAGTGTACTCTAAAGTTATGACTTCTTTTCCCGCCTTCCTTCCAGTTCCAGTTATAATCACTAATAAACTTTGGTCTTTGTATATTTGCCTATTCTAAGAATTTCACATAAGAGCAATCATAGAATATTTGTTAGATTCTGATTGAATTATTCTAGTCAACACAATGCTTTCAAGTTTCATCTGGCTTATAGTAAAAAGGTAGAAACAATGCCCATTAGAAGATTGATGAATAAGGAAATACAATGGAATATGTCTGTTATAAAGAGAAAATGAGCATTTTCTTTTTAAGTTTTGGTGGAGTCTTGAACATACAATAGGCTGCCAAGAAAACAAATAAGTCTGTCTTGGAGAGGGTGAAACCAAGTGTCTCCTTGGAGGTTAGGATTTTGAAGCTCCACCTCATTTACTTTGGGCACGTGGCTAAGAGACATGGGTCCTTGGAGAAGGACATCATGCTTGGAAGGGTGGCCAGACATCACAGGAGAGGAAGACCCCAGATGAGATGGATTGATTCAAAGACTGGGGCAGTGGGGATTGGTGTGTCAGAATTAGTGAGATTGGCTCAGGACAGGGAGGTTCAGAGCTGCTGTACATAGGGTCACTATGCATCGCAGGTGACTCACCACACATGACAACAGTAACATGCTATGACAGGTTTGAAAGCAGAAGGGGCATCCACTTCCTAAACAACATGCCTCCGGAAACTCTATGAGAGGCTTTAGGCCTTTTGTTCATAGGGTCGTTATGGTCATGCTTGACTCAAAGGCAATCAACAACAACAACAACAGCATCTTAAAATCATTTGTCATTTCAGAATTTATAAAAGCAACACACAGATAGAACAATATAAACTTGCATAAGAATACCAGCACACACCTTTCTACTTGGTTGCAGTGATCAGATCATCCAAGATGAGTTCTTTAGGTAATGTGGAGGGAAAAGTAGTTCAAGAAGATATACTTTCTTCTGAAGCAGTACTGTTAGCTTTCTGTGCTGCACAAAGTCCCCACTTTACCTGGCCAGACCGAGATGCTACATCCCACACAGACTGGAATACAAGGCCACGCAAAATTGTACAGTCTCACAGATTTGTATGTGCCATAGTGGCCACAAACACCAAATATATAATAGTACAATAATTAACTATCTTTTTTATCCTGACAGTATTAATCAAATAGAGTTTGCTTACCATTTATTGTTGAAGAGCACACTGGCTGAGTCATGGATTCCTACTAAGTTGGTAACTCTTCTCTGCACAAATTCTTTCAACTTATCCATTCAATTAA